AATACACAGCAGAACAAGATCAGAAACCAGTGTTTTTTATTCTTCCCTCTTGTCTCTCCCAATTCTATTAGCTTCATCTTTATAACATTTGAATGTTCTGTACTAAACATTTTCTGCAAAGGACTGGAGCTCATTGGAGGAAACCAAATAAAAAATTATAGTTGTGGGCTGGGGATTTAGCTCAGTGGTTCCGGTGCCTGCCGCTCAAGCGCAAGGTCCCGAGTTCGATCCCTGGTACCAAAAAAAAAAATTATAGTTGTAAATTGCTTGGGGTCCTAGAAAGACAGAGTGTCAAATAAATTCAAGCTCTTCCTGCTTTAACACACAAAGAAACCTTAAACAAGGAGATACAATTGCTGTAATGGCCTGCTCGTGTGTCTTATGCCACTCAAGCTGAGGGGGACTTTTCCTGCCACCAAGTCTGAGCCTGTGTGGTCCCCAAGCCTCAGTTCCTCAGCTGTCAGCTAGACTTTGTGCCCATAGAAAATTCTTTGGAGTTAAAAGTTGTCAAATGCAAGAGACCATATGAACAATAATGATTCCATCTTTCAATTTCATTACCCGACAAAACACAATATATTTAATGTTACTGCTGTGGCAATGGGAGACCCCAACTGCCCCTGGGGGTCACTAGCTGCAGTAAAACAAAGCAGAGACAGCTTTGAAGGCAGACAGGTTTGGGTTTAAGTACCTAGGTGATCTTAGATGACTTAAAACTCACTGAGCCTGTTTTTTTTTTTTTTATGAATGGATTCATTCATTCCAGCCTAAAGATTGACTGACTTATGAGAAATACCTAGCCCAGTACCCAAGGGAGAGTAAGGGTAAGTAAGGGCTTTCCAAGTGCAAGCTATTATTCTGATTATTACTATTTAGCACTGTATTCTCAGTGCTTTGGCACACTGCATTCCATAAATATCTGAGAGAATTAAAGAATGAATAGTTGAATCAATGTGTTTATTATTAGAGCAAAAACATTCATTAGAATGCACTCAGGATCTTCAGCAAATTCCTATTCTCTCTTCTAGTTAAGATGGACATTTTCTTCTCTTTCTCTCGTGTCTTCACTTCTTCCCACAGTTTATCCATTTACTCACAGGCAAGACCAGAAGAAAATGATAGTACCCAGCATGTTATTGGGGAGCCGAGTCTTGCACTCACTGAGTTGGAGTGATATATTTGCATGCATGTGCTGGGCACTTGTGTTAAGAGGTCACTCTCCCCTGCACTTCAGAGTCCAGTGGAAAATTCCATAATAATTAGAATACAGTACCGTAAGTGCTGGAACAGAGGCAAACACCAGGGAAATGGGAGAATGGTAGGAGAAAGATAAATTCTCTCTGGGAGGGATAGGGAGATACTGTGAGAAAGGTTTTTCAAAGAAAGCCAAATAAGTCCACAGTGATAGAGGAGGAGGAAGATAGGGAAGAGGAGAGTGGTTGGAGATGCTTTCCAAGCAGAGGATGCAATCAGAGGAAAAGCACTTGTGGCAGAGAGAGGACAAGGGCAGAGCCTAGAGTAAATCTCCTAGTACATTTGGATACCAGTGAGGAGTTCAGTGTGGCTATGATATAGGGAGTGAAGGAGTAGGAAAAGGCAAGCTGGAAAGCCCAATATTCATTCAGCTAACAAATACTTACTGAGTATCTAATGTAGTTAGGGATAAGGACAACACTGGCTAATGTCTGAAAATTTTGCAGGAGAGATTAGAGAAAACTGCAAGAGGAAACAACCTTCACAAGCTGTTCAAGGTGACTCTGCTTCCCAGTGGCTAAGGGAGCCCACCAGTTGGCAACAAAAAAGGCACTGAAAGGAGGGTGGAGGGCACCATACCGATTGGCACTAGCTGGGCACCTACTTGCCATGTGACCTTGGCCAAAGCATGGCCCACTTTTGGCGTGTTTCCTCATCTGTAAAATGAGCTGGTTAGATAACAAAACCTTATCATCTTTTATGGCTCTAAGATGATATGACCACAATCTTTTTAAGTAACAGAGGACTGCAGGGTTGAGTGGGGTTTTCTCAGGGCATCTATTAACTTGTGGCTCCACAGTCATCATTCAGAGGACCCAGAGGGATAGAAGCAAAATCAAAAAACATTTTCAGAAGATAGATGACTGAAGGGGGCTGACATATGTGTGAGACTTTGGGGAATTTATGCAGGCAGCCTCGCAGTCATAAATAAAATCCCTTTCCCTTACCCAAAACCTCATTCAGGGGGTAAACAGCAGACACTGTAATAGACAATTTGGCTGTACCTCCCACCCTGTGCCTCACTTGAATGAAAAACAGCCATCACAGAAAGGGTAATAGGTCTGGCCGCCTCTTTTCAAACATTCATATTGTCACCAGCGACAAGTGAGGCAGAGAATGAAGCCGCCTGGATAATTCATCTCTGAGACTCCTGGTCACTTTGTTCAGCCCTACTCTGACGGCCATCTGATCTGAGGCTGGGAGGCTGAGGGAAACCCCAGGAAAACTCAGATCCTGGGAGAAGTAACCCTGGGAGGGTGGGAGGAACAGCAACACCTCCCTTTCCCACGAGCCTCTCAAGGACTTAGGAGCTCCAGGCACTGTGAATGCCAGTCTAGCCCTCTATGTGCAAGGCTGCCCAGCACAGCACCTCATGTTTTCTTGACCTAATTCTCTTTCCATCCCTGCCCTACTCCATTTCCCCTCTGGAGGCCATGTAATTAGTACCTCTCTATCCATAAGGATTGGGAGACTTTTAAAAAGCTCCTAATTCCCAGGATAACCAAGGAGACTGGGAAGCAGGTCCTGACATTGCTGTTTGAGTTTTCTTTTCTTTTCCTTCTCTTTGTTGGTTTGATTCTGCTTCCTGGCCTCTGCAGGAGACCAAACCCAGTTTGACCTTGTCAACCAGCAGGGTCTTTGGCTAGAAATCAGCTGGAAGCAGCCTGGCATGAACCAAAACTGGGGCCAGCAGTCTTGACAGAGCAGGACAAGCACTGCTCAGTGTGCACGTGGGAATACAGAGGTCTTTTTGAAGCCTTCCCTTGCTGGAGTAGCAGGCAGAAGAGGGACCTGTGGTCTCCACCTTCTGCTTTTCTCCTGGAAAGCATGGGTCAGGAGAGCTGAGGCTATGAGGCTATATGAGGCGCTGCCAGTTCTGGCTCAATCCCTTTCTGCTTCCCATTAGCACCAAATGGAAACTGACGGGTCACTGCTTTATCCATTCATTTTGAGAGGAAGAAAAGCTCATAGCAAATGCTGAATAACTGTAGGCATCTTATAAATTAAGCATGTTAAAAATATGAAGGATTTTTGCATTGCCACTAAACAGAATTAAATTAGGGTCTGAAGTTTCTGCAGAAATGAATGAATAAGAGGGAAGGAAGATTTTGTTTTTAGTTCCTTTTTTTTTTAAGCATGCAGGGCAGGGAGTCCAAGACAGGATGAGGGCAGAACTGAGTCACCTGTCGACATTTCTGATTTCAATCAGCTGCTGCTGCACATACATGGAAAAATGTGCCACAAGGTAACAGAGGCACAACTCAGAGACCTTAGGCTTGGCCTCTGCTGTGTGATGCTTGGCCTGGCAGGGACTCCACTTCTGGCCTGTCTCTGCCCATGCTGGGGCCTCCTGACCACCCCCAGGATGGCATTCCCACTCTGGGCCCTTACAGCCAGTCCTGATTGTGACTGGGAATTCTGCAACATTAAGTTAGTTCACTGAACCCAGCATCTTTATTCTAAGTTGGCCGCAAGCCTTTTTAGTTCAGGCTTAGGGTCCAGATCCTGCCTTGTTTAGAGTGTCCACTTTTTTCCTACCCCAGACAAGGAAGAGGGGCCTCTGTGGTTATCTGTCTGGATAACCTGCCTGGTACTTGAATCCTTGTAGAGTTATCACCTAACCTTGCCCCTAAGGTCCACTGTTGGACAGGTCTTTTTGTGCCGAAGCTGAATTTCTTAGAGCTATGTCCCACTCTTCAGTTTACACTGACTCCAGCACCACTTACACATACAGACACCCTGATCCCTGCCACCCTCCAAGCTGTCCTGACTGCACAGCTTCCCTATGTGGGGCCATCAGACGACCACGCTGTGTCTGCCGGACTGGATGGCATGCTCTTCCCTGTTGTTGGGGCCATGTCCCCAGGACCAGAGATCTGGAGTGCTTAGGCCTCATCCAGTCCTTGCAGAGGACACACCTGATTTCCCAGGCTGTCCCCACCAGGGGTGGAGGTGCTGGTTGTACAGGCAGCAGCCCTGCCTGTCCACATCTAGAGTGGCACACTCACAGTAACAAAGGAGAAACTGAAGTGACCCTGCCTTTTCTCTCAGAGCCAGGCCTCAGCAAACAGATGGCAAAGCAACAGTCCTTTCAAGCAGCCAGGCCAGAGTCACTGAGCAGACTTGTAGATTCATCCAAATTGGCACAGACATGGCACACTCTCTAGTATTCTTCTGGGATCTTCTTGGACCTCCTCTCTCATCTTCAGCCCTCAATATGAAATCCCCGTGCCCAGGCCCTCCTTTATCATTCACAGCTGCCTCTTAATATACTAGGCTGAATCCATCATAAACTGTACCAGGGAGTTAACAGCATCTTTCTTCCAGTCAGCAGGGGAGCTCAGCAGGTCAATCAGATCAGAGCTGTTAATCTGTTGCTGCCCCACCACTATCCCTACCATCACCATCCTCACCTCCACCACGTCCTCCACTTATATCACCACCACCATTTACACCACCTCCACCTCCCCTACCTCTACCCCTACCTCCATCACCTCCAATCTGACCACCTTTTCTACCACCACCACCACCACCACCTCCACAGCCATCCAGCCACCTCTCCCACCATTATCTCCTTCACTTCCATCTCCACCACATCCAACTCCACCTCTACCCCAGCCAAACTCAGGGAGGGCAGAGGGCAGGATTTGGACAGCTTCCCACAAGACCTGTGCAGCACACAGATGGCTTTTGTGAATCCTTGGAGTAATGGTTGGGGGTGTACCCCAGAGCTGGCCTTCACTTACCAATCCTCAGGGAGTGGGGGCTGCAGGTGACCATCATGAGCCACGCAGGAAGCAGCACCAAAGGCGCCGAGACGCGGGGCATCTTCTATAAATCCTCATGGAGCCCTCTGCTGGTCTGGGCATGACATATCTCTGCAAGAGAGGGAAAGGAGCTCATGAGTCCTACAAGGGCTAGGTAACCAACCCACACAGCCCGGTGACTTGAGCCTCTAGGGAGAAGTGCTTGGGGAAAACTTAACAATCCCTATGTAAGAACTTGTGGCAGTGTTGTGCGAAAGCTGCAGGCAAGGCCATGGAGTTGGGCCTTTGTCTTTCCTCCCTGTGCCCACCAGGGCTCAAAGAAGGCTCACCCTCAATCCATAAAGGGCAGACTGATGTAACTGAGATTACAGAGGCTGAGGCTCATTTCTTTTCAAAATCTTCAGTTGAGAATAAAGACCATCAACTGCTCTTAAGAAATGCGAGCCATCGGTGACAGAAGATGGAGGCGTGGGAGGGCAATTTCCTTGCCCCCAGCCCATGACATGCTCTGCACACTGGTGAGTGCTTTGGGAAGGGACTGGATTCAAATTCAGCTTGCCAGCTGCACAGTCTTCCTGGGGCTTCTCTATCTCAGATCAGTTTCCTTGTTTGTAGCAATGGTAACATCACCTCATGATGGAGCTGAGTTGAGAATTAATTAAGTTGCCATGAGCAGGGCCTGCCTAAAGGGGGTGCTAAATGAACGTCGGTTTGTAACCAGGAGAGATTTATTCCTAAATCATCAGATGATGTCCATATCATCCATTTCCCACTAACCCCTTCCCCACCTTCCTGATGTCAAATGCAGAACTGTGCAGAGGGCTGCCCTCCCCAAGGCAACAGTGTCACTGTCCCCCTACAGAGACCTCTTAGATATTCTGACACCCAGAGTCTGTAAGCAACTATCTTCATCACTGGGATGAAGGTGGGCCTAGTAAGCCACTCCCACATGCCCTTGGTATTAAAATGTTTCCTTCTCCTACTCCCTGGACAGACATTTCAACAGAAAAATGGGCAAAAGACTTCGACAGAACTACACTAAAGAATATACCCAAATGGCCTGTACACATTTGAAAGTGTGCTTGGCTTCACTGGGCATTACAGACATGTGACTTCAAACCACAATAATATACCACTATTATCCACCAGAGTAATGCAAAAAGACAATATCAAATGTTAGTGAGGATGTGGAGAAACTAGAATTCTCATGGTGTGAGTAGAAGTAAGTGTACATTCACACAGCTGCTTTGGAAAACTGATCTAGTAGAGCTTTTCACATATCGTTAAGAACCCAGCAACTCCACTCCTTAGTACAGCTCCAAGAGAAATGCATGAATATGCTCACCAAACACATGTCCCAGAATGTTCATAGTAGCACTCTCTAGATTTCTCCAAACTGGAAACCACCCAAATATCCAGCAGCAGAATGGAGAAATATACTGTGTACTCATATAATAGAACATGACACAGAAATTAAAATGAATCAACAACTATATACAATAATATTGATGGCTTTAATAAATATAATATTTGGCAAAAGAAACCAGGCACAAAGAGTACTTACAGTATGATTTTATCTATGTAAAGTGCAAAACCAGATGAAGCTACTATGTTGTGTTCTATGAAGTCCAGTTCGAGATTAGGGCAGAGGCTGGCCTGAGGGGCTTCCGGGGAACTAATGTTCTGCTTGTAACTCTGGGTGCTGGTTACACATGTGTGTCCAGTTTGTGAAAACTGACTGGGGGATACTTGAGGTATGTGCACTTCACTTTCTGTGTGCAGTGTCTCGGATATCTGTGTTTTGCAGCACACCATCTACCCAGCACACACTCAGCTCAGCATTCCAGCCATAGCTGGCACCTTGCAGTCCCTGTACCTGAAGCATGCCCCTCTCCTCACCCCTCATCCCAGCAGCCTATCATGGCTCTCAGTGCAGCACTTCTCCTTCTATGGCTCTTGCCTTTATGTATCTCCACTGGGATCACTGTAGGCTCCTTAAGGGCTGGAACTGTTTCCAGTTTCCTACTGTATCCCTAGGGTCTATGTATGCACAATAATGGAACAGGATCTATTTACTCAATGAATAAAAGGCCTCAAGCAATCCCCTGCTACAAATAGACAGGGGAGGGTAAAGGGTAAAGGATAGGGATAAAGGAAACTCTGTTGTTTACAAGTCAGGCCCAGAATCTCTGTCCTTTAATTTAAGGGTATTGGTGCAGAGACAGATTAAAACAGTCTCAAGGAAAGCTAGAGACTTTTATTCACTACAGATAAAGTTGATCATTTGGTGATTGTCTCCCCAGGAGCATGTAAACTGAACCAAGGTGGGGCTGTGTCCTTGTCCCTGTTGCCAGGGCTCTGTCCCCGGGACCCAGGACCTAGAGTGCTCAGCCTGCATTAACTAGCCTCATACAGTCAGGGGAGGAAGCATCTGATTTTCCAGGCAGAAAAGAGGTGCTCAGTGCTATATCTCCACGACTATTTTCTTTTTACCTCTAAATTATTAAAATATTTTTGGTTAATCAAAGCTGAACTGTGAAGTTTTAAGAGTAGATTCATCTAAATATCAAACTGAAACGGAAACCTCAAATTTCTTTTTTTTTTTTTAATAAAGGATCTAAAGCTTTATCTTTCTGCTCTCACATGGAAACAGTTAAGATAAAGAACACAGTGGAATCAGAGCTCTGGCTTTGTGTAACCTTGAATTTTGCATTTGACTTTCCATGGGCGCAGGTTCCTTACCTGTAATTGAACTTGTTTGGTGGGTTAAATCTGATAAAGACTGTGGGGGAAAATTTGCAAACCACCAAGCCTTCCACATGTGCAATATGAAGGTTCTTTTATTCTTTTTTGTTGTTCTTCTTTTATTCTTGTAAGGTTTGGGAGGAGATTATTTCTCATCATTGTGCCCACGGTCACATGGCTGAAGTCCAAGAGCAGCCTAGGACCTCAGCTATTGTTCTGAAAGGTGGCCTCCAGAATCAGCCAGGCTTCAAGGCCATGAATAACAAAAGTCAGGGCTTCGTGAACTGAGTGTACTTCTGTAATCAAATAAAATATACATAGGCTAATCTGATACCTATTTAGTGGTTTGCATAATAATTATTGTCCATTGTGCTAATCAGGCATCAAAGGAAGGGATTTGATGTAAGTGATTGTATTTAGTATTATTTTTATATTGCCTAACCAGAATTTATAGTTCTTTCATCTTTGACAGTCCATTTATCTACTCAAGAGTATTTATGGGGCCTGTAATATATGTCAGGCATTGTTCTAGGCCCTGTGGATATAGTCAAACTTGGAAGGCAGAGATTTCCCTAAGAGACCCTTCTTGTGTAGTTGAGGGCATTGTTCTGGACATCCTGGGGTGACCATGCCATTCATGTGAGCAGAGTCTGGGTTGGACTGAAGCCAGGTTGGATCTGGGCCTGGATCTTATTAAGTGAACACTCCTGGGAACCACAGCCCTCAGTGCCTGTCTCTTCATCTACCAGTAATACGGGAAGAACAGTGCCTACCTCCGGGGTGATGAGCACCAGGAAAGCAGGGAACAATTCGCACTTTTCCACCTGTGTCCCCAGTGCCTGGCACAGGCTGGCACATAGTAGGCATTCACAAAATATCTGTTGAAATAATGAAAGAATCCAATCAGAGAATATTCATGGGAAACACTGTTAGCTGCCAAATATCTTAACTGTGGTGAGTTACATTTAGCATCCTTGCCCACAAGGAATTTACAATTCACATATAAATTTTCCACCCAGGCAAGCTCTCTTCTTTTGACCCTTTGACCCCCCTGCCACTGACCGTGGTTTAAGGGTATGATTTATCACACTACCCTGTGACGGCATGACAGAGAGGCTGGGGGCACTGGACTGGGAGACTCACCTCTGCTGTCATGTACCCATCCAGGATGTCTCCTCACCCTAACACCAAAAATGAGACACCTCACTTTTCCTAGAAGGAAAACTTAATCTGCACTTTTTCATGACTGCAAGATTGCTCAGTTTCCTCAAGCTAGAAGAGCTCCTTGAATGTCTCTTTCAGATCACATCATCTCTGCTCCCGGGTTCCACACTCCTGTTTTGAATAGAACCCCCACAAGGGCAGGGGCTTCATCCCTCTGATTCACAGCTCCGTTTTCAGAACCCCTGGACAGTGCCTGGTGTGCCTGAAAGCGAGGTTATTTAACTTTGCAGTTATTTCTGCCATGGGGGGGGGGGGGGCGGGGCAGGGAAGATCTCTTTCAGGCACACATCTACCTGACCTGCTCGCTATGAGGCCTATACTGAGTAGAAACTCAACAAATGCTGGCTGATTCACCCACAGGGGCCAGCTGATACCACAAACATGCACGGCCTGCCAACAGCTCACTGCATTCCTGTGGTGTGCATGCTGCCTTGACTCCTGCCTGGCTGTGCTGATTGCCCTCTCCTCTCCTGACTTATAAGTAGTCTCTCTGCTGTTCTCTCCCTCTCATTCTTATAGGGTTACTACATCACTAATCATGATTTTCCCAGAGTGGGACAGAGAGAATGCTGACAGCCACCAGACGGTGTTTGGTGGTGGGGAGGACAGAAGAAATCAGAGGGGCAGCCAGATTAATTACAGGTTTTCTCTTGACTGTGGGTGACAAGGTCTTGATTACTCCTCCTGAGGCTCCAGGCTCCTCAAGACAAATGGATGTGGGCTTCTTTGCTGTCTCTGACTCCTCCTGCCTGGGAGAAACTCCATGTAGCACCCAGCAGCTTGGATGGAGTGCACAAGGTAGCAGAGAGCCCAGAGCAAGGGAATGGGACCACCCCAGGCCCTGTGGCTTCCTTGAGGGACAATTAATATTCCTTTCCTAAAATAGCTTGGCAGCACTTGGTAGATACCTTGTCTCCCTGGCAACAAGTAGAGTTATACTAGGATGCAGGACTGTCCTGGGGGTCAACTGTGGCAGTTAACTCTTTGAGCCTCCATTTCAGATGCTGAGAGGGAATTAGACTAAATGTTCTCTAAGGTTCTTTTGAGCTCTGAAATTCTACATTTCTAGGAACTAAACTATGTGATACATAATATTTACTGAATATTTAATATGAGCAAAGTACCATTTCAGGTTCATTTGTTCCTCAAAAGAATCCTGTAAGGTAGACACACTCACCCTCCCTAGATACAGATGCAGAACCCAAGGGCAAAGAGGTTGATTCACTTGCCAAGGTCACTCAGCTGGTAAATGGAGGAACCAGACCATTGGCTCCAGAACCTTATTGTCTTTGTGTCCTAGAGCCCACCTCATAGTTAAATTTGACATAGTGTTGGAATATGATCATGACAACTATAATGATTTTGGAGAACAAGACAAGTTCAATGCAAGTACCTTGGGCCCATCTGTACATTTTACTGAGTCAGGGGGCAAGCAACAGAAGAATGAGTCTCAGAATACCCTTTGGTTAAAAAATAAAAGGGAAGGAAGTAAATAGAAAGAGAAGGAGGGCAAAAGAAAAGAAAAGGAAAAGGAAGAAAACAAGAACACTGGGCCTGGTATTTTTGACCTTTAAAATTTCCCACAAGGAGATACTCACAGGAGTCTGTGATAGGTTATGATGTAGCAGACTAGCCAGTGGGACAGCAGCAGCAGCACTAGGAGCTGGGCCGCTGCTATTCAGTTTATTCAGACCTGACTGTAGGGAGGGTGTCCACAAACACTGCAATTGCAGGATCTGGCAGATACCAGGCCACAGAACTAAGGAAGGCCATTTGAATTCTCAGGCACTGATCAGTACAAGGAATGAGAACTCCCCAGCCTCTTTTCCCCTAGAAAACCACTCCCATGTAGATTGCAGACTGAAGCTCCTAATGCACCTCTAAACAAATGTCCCTCATCAGAGGCCAGAGAAGATGTTCCTGGCTTCTAGTATGTGGGCTGAAGCAGATTCCTTAATCTCTCCAAGCTCCATTCCACAACCTCGAGAAGACAGTAAGGTTGTTGCCTAGCTCTCAGGTATGGTACAATCAGTAAACATGGACTTCCTTTCTATCACCTTTCCACTTGCATTCAACACTTCCCTCCAGCTCTTATACATAAAGCACCTAGGTCACATCCACATCTTCTTCCACAAGACAGCCTCCCTGGGAGTATGAATCCACAGCCCTCTCACCTCCAAAATGCTGCTCCAAGTCAGCCTCAACCCCAGAAGCTCTCCCTGAAGCAGTCCTTCTTCCTTTCCATTCACTCAGCCTGGCATAGGAGGAAAATCAGCAGACTGCAGGTAGAGTCCTTTGTGACTCTGAACCCTTAACAGGGTAAACTGGGGAAACTGCACTCATGCCATCAATCTTAGAGGGTTGCTAAGAAGATCAAATGAGGCGCTGGATGTAGAATGTCTCTACAAATGAGTAAAGTGCTTTTGAGGCAAAATGGTGTCTATTGTTTCCACACTCTAGTCTGGCTGGAGATAAATACACTTAGTATTGTTATGATTTACTTCATTCATTGAATATTTCTGTCAGGTGTCTACTCTATGTAGTCAATTTTCCAGGCCCTGGAATGCAGTGCCTGCCTTTTTAAAGCTTATAGTCTAGAATATTAAAGATGTGAATCAGACATTCAGATAAATAGATGCCACCATACAGACAGTGAAGGGAAGGCACAGGGTGCTCTAGACAGTGGCAGGAAGGGACGGCTTCCCTGAGGATGGCGGTTTGATTTGAGCTACCTTCAGCAAGAGTAAGGAGGGGGACACAGAGGAGATCAGGTCACAGAAAACAACATATAAGACCACAGACCCCTGGAGGGACACAATGAAGTAGGCTTCAGAAATGCCAGGTGTCGAGCCAGGGATTTAGCTCAGTGGTTCCTGCGCCTGCCTCGTAAGCGTGAGGTCCCGAGTTCAATCCCTGGTACCAAAAAAAAAAAGAGTTGCCTCTGGTCTGGGGATTTAGCCCAGTGGCACTCTGCCTGCCTCACAGAAATGGCAGGTGTCCACTGAAACTGTAACCAAGAGTTCCTTTGCTGTGTATCTGCTGTGACAATGATTAGCTTCCATCATTAGGTGTGGCCTCTCTAAGGATGAAAGCCTGTCTCCTCTCCCTCTGTGTCCCTAGGTCTAGGGTAAGGTTCTGCATCTAAAGCCAATTTCTCCATGAACCTTGTACTAGACCCTGTAGCCTTCACAGGGAAGGCAAGAAGGCCGAAACATCCACATCTCCTCCCTACTGAAAAGGGGGCCATTAGCCATGAGAAGATAGAGAGCTGATTGCCCACCGCAGTGAGCCAAGGGAGGTGGCATGAGGACCACGAAGTCAGAGGGGAATGGCAGAACTGGCTTGTAATTGTGAAAAATGTTCCTGGCATTTATCTGAGGCCACCAGGCTGGGCCCCAGGAGAGATGAGCTCCTGGCAGAAACCACGTGAACTGAGGCTTTGAAACAAAACTGCTGGAGTACTGGAGCTGCAAGTGCTAGAGCTGCAAGTAACATATGTAGAGCCGAGAGGCCTTGCAAAGGATATCCACACAGGAACTCAGTGGGCAGAAGAAGAGACTGTGAACAGCTTTTAGGTCAGCATTTACATGGCCTCCAGGCAAACACACCCTTTCCTTCTCTGCCAGGAATCTCCCTGACTTTTGGGAGGGGAGGGCCCATCCTGCAGAGACTTTTCCAGGCTCTGGCCAAGTTGTGTACACTGCAACCTTCCAGAAGCAGGAGCTGGGCTGCTCAGCCTGGAGAAGAGGCTGGAAGTGGGTGGTAGCTGCATGATAGGAATGCAGCCAGGAGTCCACTAGCAGAAGCCACAGAGAGATTAGGGATTACTCTAGACTCACAGATGATGGTGCTCAGGACAAGGCCAGAGGAAAGTACTCTAACTAATCTGTGATACAGAAGTCCTGAGGCTGGGTGGGGGACACAGATGTGTAGCTCCTGCACCTATCCTGTCCATGTTCACTTCATGTGCACATCAGCATCTTAGATCTCTCAGACACTGAGTAGGGCCCTTTGGTTTCTTTTTACCTAAACCCTAGCCAGAGCAGATGAGGAAGCAGTGAGCCCTGGGCCCATGTATTCCTTGGGGAAACCTAGAAGCAGACCTTCAGCACTCCAGGGGTCAAGTCTAAGAGGATAGAAAGACTAGATATTTCAAAATGAATGTCCACAACCAAGCAAGTAATGTCTCCTATCTATCAAAACTCAGAGTGATAGGGGTGGGGATTTAGCTCAGTGGTTCCAGCGCCTGCCTCACAAGCGCAAGGATCTGAGTTCAATCCTTGGTACCAAAAAAAAAAAAAAAAAACTCAGAGTGACAGACTTATCCTACTGGAGTCATCCAAGCTCAGAACAATTGCTGGAAACTGCTCAAATGTGCATGCATGGCCCATCCTGCCCCTTCCCTTCTGTCCAGCTTAATTAGCACTGATTACCATCCACTTAGGGCAAGGACTGGCACCAGGCTCCCAGGGTAGAGGCAGAAACTGGCGGTTGGCCAGTTGCCCCTGGTGAAAGGTTAGAGGACTGCAGTCAAGATTAGGAGGCAGATTTGCTTTTCATTTTAAAATGCTCCCTACTGTTTGCCTTTTTAACAAAGAGGTTAGATATCTTTTCCAATTAAAAAATCTGGTTAATAATTTAGAAAATAATAAAGCAT